ATTGAAAATGTAATATTGATTACTGGCTTGCATATGATTTATTAAGCAAGTGATATTGAATAACTTGAATTACAAGTGTATGTTTTGATACGATTCTGCTCCATTGATTAGACTGATGTTATAGATCGATGTGATAGATAAGAAGACTACTGTGGAGATTGATGCATGTACTGATTTATTGAACATTATGGATTTTCTACTGTTCACTGATTCTCTTACTGATGATTTCGAATTCTATTATTTATGCATTGATTTATATTACTGTATTGATTACTGATTTTCGTATTTGCATAGATTCAATGATCATGTGCAAGTGAATGTTATTGATTTGACTGATTGACATGCATATTATTTTAGTACCGTGCTTTGATTTCAGTTATAGATTTTTGGTGACCTGCTGGGCTTTTTTGAAGCTAATTATATGTGGTTAACAATTTCAGGTCAGAGCAAGGGAGCAGGAAGTGATGGTTGATCAAGACTGTCGACGAATCCTTTCACTATGGATGCCTGGGATGTCACACTAACTGCCCAACATCACTTGATTCTTACTAAAGAGCAAAGTTCTACATTCAACAGCCACCAACTTCTAACACCTCTTTTTGATCATATTATTGCCTAACTTATAGGAGAATGATTAAGTTGTTTGACGTATATTAAAGAGATATGCTTAATGGCTATCAACCACCATTGTCTAAGGACAATCTTCTTGGTCCCCCAATCTAGTCTTCAATATGCAAACTAATTGGACTAAATTAATGATCTCAATTGACCTCTAATATTCATTGACAACTATCATTTGAAGCCTACCAAGTATCAAATGTCAATTGTTCATCAATCATTAATGTCTAATATCATTTTTTCTTGATTGCTTGATCTTGACTCTTTTAAAGAGAATGACTAAGATAACCAGATGATGTGACCCAATCTAAGGTTCTTTTTATTGATCATCACCTAATTCTCACCAACAATATATGATATCCATCATCTACCAACATTTGATGACCATCTTCATAGTTGTTATGCATCCTCTTATATTAGGCGAGCGATCAAAATGACCATTAACTACCACATTCTATTGTATATTGTTGATAATTACATGAATCTTTCCTATAGTTGATGTTTTATGCTAGCTAACCTGTAACATCTCAACTTGAGCATTTTCCAATCTTACCTATGTTTTACCTAGTTGATTACTCAATAACATACGATGACAACTTAAACATGTCAAGACTTCTCCGGCCACCATAGGAAATATTCAGAGTTCATGTCTACTACATCGTATTAATGCCTTTTTAAATTATGAGAAAGGTGTCTTTTATAATATTTGACTCACTCTAGAGAAATCAATTCCATTGGTCAAATGATCGTAGATGTATATTTTACACATCATGTACATAGAATCCACCATAATCCAATCTCTCATATATAAATCAAAATAATTATATTAGTACAATTATTTTTTAAAAATTGAGTGAAAATAAATGTGAAAATCAAATATCTAACCCAAGGCAAAATGTGTTAAATTAATGTTTATTAATTACGAGTGTCTTCCTTACATGGCATTGAAATTAGTCTTTTATTTGGAAGTTAGCCTAACTTATGCAATTTAACTTGATCAAAATGCTCGAAAATAATTCAGTAGCTCAATCAATCAAGACCAAAAAAGGGTGGAACATAATATTATTGGGAAATAAAGAGCCAATGAGAGAGAGGTGAAAGGGGAGTATGTACGTGTGTGTGTGAGAGAGAGGGTACTATTAGCCGAATACCAATAGTATGGAAGTAGGATTCAAATACCACTTGCTAGTCATCGATGGATTTAGACAGTTTCTTTTTCATCGAGTATTCATCCTCTTTTTGAGTGACTCGTAATTCACAACTCATTATGAATAGATTCTCACAAACAACTTAGTCCAATGAACTATTTTTTGGTTTAGTGAGACTGGCTTAGGCAACTAAACTCAACTCAATAGCCATTCAACTCACATAGTTAATTTGACTTTCTATTAAACTCACTTGATACACTCACAACCTGTGAGCTCACAAAATATTAAAATAGTAATCATAACAACATAAACATATTTTCATCATAATTCAAGATCCTACCAGTATCTTAATATTGATTGACCCCACCAACCCAATAAAAAAATAAAGATATCTCAATTAATTGCCAGATTCTAAAATCTCAATGTCTGATTAATGATTACAAAAAAATCATGAATTCAACAACCTACTTCTATGTTAAATTTCTTCTTTCTTTCTTTTTTTTTTCAATCATGATCTCAATGAGTAGACTTCTTCATCTTTGTGGGCAAACCTCATAACAAAGCCTTCTAGAAAAACAAAAGAAACCCTAAAGTATAATGTGTACAGCACTTCCTTAGTTGGTAAACCTTCAATATTTAGCTAATATGTGTAAGTGCAATGGCAATCAATTAAGTCACACTTTATGTACTAAATCATGTGCCCATGTTCTTTATTATCTTATGAAAGATCTAAAGGTGGGGTAGTTGGATTTGTGGAGTTGGTGGCTTTGGGCTCCTTCTTAGACCTTTCATGAGCACCACTTCTAATTCTTTCATGTGTAGGTCAAATATTTTTTTTTAATTATTGTTCAAAATAAATATTATTTAAAATAATTTATTTATTTATGTTAATATTTGGTAAATTTTTTCTTTGTTAGGTGCATTATGTGATATATTGGAATTTTTCAAAAATAAAAATAAAAAATTTTATGCACTTAGACTTTGTATTTTTCTTGCTAGCTAGCTTTACTTGTAAGTACTAACTGTGGGTGGAAACTTTGCTTTGAAAGGAGAACAGCCAATATTGATAGGCGACCTTATGCTAATCATTTTTTTTTTATTTTTTAAAGTTGGCATAGTGGAAAAAAATTAAATAATATAAAATTAATTATGATAGGTTTTCAAACAGGAAGGAATAATATATAAAGTATTAATTATTTTTATATAATAATTATTTCAAAATAAATTTGTTGTCTAAAAAAATTATTTTTGATCAAATTAAAATATGAATATGATGATTTAAATTTCTTGATTATGATGATCAAAAGATAATATCTGTCTTTTTTTTTTAATTAATATGTAAAAATGTGAGAGTAAAAATTATTTAATTAAATTAATTAAAACTCTCTAACAAAAGAAAGACAAAAAAAATAATTGTTCTAATTTTGAAGTTTGGGTAGGACGATTGTTTATTTTAATTGAAAAAGAAAGTAGTTGGTGGCTTGAACTTTATGTTTGCATGTCTATTTTGATGAAATATCAAAAGTCATAACAAATGTTGTAACCTTATTGATGACAAATATGCATTTGTAGCATAGAGTGGTTAACTTAGCTTCCATCTCACTGATATAAGTTTGCATGTCAAGCATAACTCTTATGGGGGGAATTATTTTGTGCGGTCACTGGACGTCGTTCGAAGGCAAATCAGGACGTGCCATGTCACTTTTTTTGTTGTGTACCGCTGTGTATCGGATGACATGACGCATTCCGATTCGACTCCGAATAACCCTAATTGAGTAGCCTAACTAGCCTAAAAACCTATGTCAACCCAATAAATATTATTAGGCAAATTGACCCGACTTAAAAAATCCTATGTGGCATAACATATTTTATTAGGCTCACCAATCCAAACCTAAGGCATAAATGACTTGCATAATTTAGGATAGCCTAACTCAAGTCTTTATAACCCAATTGACTCACTTAACCAAATTAGGATCAACTAGCTTAACCTTTATCTACTTAGGTTCTTTTGACTAAGTTAGGCTCAACCATTAGGTGGCTAACCTGACTCAATTGGCCAACTCGAAGCCTTAATGATTATAATGACCTTTTTCATATTAAACATATGATGTATCAACAAATTATAAAGTATAACCTAATATTAATAATAATGTTAACAATTTTTGTGTTACCCGATAATATATTTGATACTATTATTTTCTTAGGAAAGTCTCTTTTGTAGAGAGGACAATTAAATATGTGTCATTAATATGATGCTATCTTTTTAAGCAAAAGTACTCTAACGATACAGGAGGGCTATTCTAGTTTAAACTATACGAATGAAAATGTCATCAAACATCAAATAATATGATTAACAATATGTTATTTCTTGACCAATATTGAATGAAATGATTCAATAAAATGATATGATGATTTGCATGTTAGTAATATGATGATTCATGGCATACTTGAATCAGTACATGAATCAAAATGATTTTTTTTTTTAATTCTAACTTATAATATGATCCTCTGTGAAAACATTTGTGACAATAATTGAAAAATCAAACTTGTCATGACTACAACAATATGAACATGGCAATAATTATTTAGCCACTACATGCAAATCATAGCATGATGTACTTCATATAAGATATGAAGTTTGTGTGCCAATTTGATGAAATATTTTGATATCATATATGATGTGCATGACCATCATTTTATTGTTAACAACAAAATTAAGTGTGATCACTTAGGACTTGGGTTTCGTTTGAGACAACTTTCTTATTGCTTCTTAAAGCAATTTTTTAGTATAAAATTTTTAGATTTTCTACTAAAAAGCTGCTTTAAGAAAAATTAAGAAAATCGACCCAAACAAAATCTTAATCTTGCTCGTGAATATTCTAAAAATATTATCCAACTATCATAATATAAAAGAAAATATTGAATTGCATCAAATATTTTTATTTTTAATTAAAATATCATAATATTATTTATAAGCAAAATCAAGCAATCTCTTGAATCAAAAGCTGTTGAGATGAATATGGGCTGTTGCTTCATAATTAATCTGATTATGTTAATAATTGCCTCATTAACGGATCCAAATTAGTGTTTCAACGAACTGTTTATTTACCTGTTTAACCTATTTACAATAAAGGAAGTGAGGCAAAATGAGAAAGAGAGAGCGACCGCGTTAAGCAATTTACGCGTTCCGTCTCTCTCTCTCTCTACTGCTATTTATGTCCCCTCTCCGCCTCTCTTTCCTCTTCGGCAGGGCAGAAAATTCTAAAAAATATCGCCTTTTGAGTCTGCCCTGCTTCTTTCTCCTCATCACTCCATCGAATCCCTTATCCATTACTGGGAAATCCCAATCTATCGCAGCTCAACCAAAAAAACCAGCAAAAGCGGAAGAAGAAGAAGAAGAAGAAGAAGAAGAAGAAGAGGACCGCGAAGGAATATCGCTAAGACCTGAACTCAACGCTTCCGGCGGTCATGTTGACGGAAAAGAATAAAATGAGATTGCTGGAAGAAGACGAGCTCTTTCCTTCAACACCAGGGAAGGTAAAGATCGAGCGTGCCCACACCATAAACCGCCAGTTCCACCGTTGCTTCGCATCGACATCCACCACCTTCCTCTGGGCACTCTTCCTCATCGCCCTCACCGCCTCTTACCTGTCTTTTCAATCCTTCGTCTCCACTTCCTCTCGCTTCCTCTCCTCTTCCGCCTGGGATCGGCAAGTCCGCACCTCCGCCTCACCTCGCCGCCCCCACGGCCTCTCCGTCCTCGTAACCGGTGCTGCCGGCTTCGTCGGCTCCCACTGCTCCCTCGCCCTCCACAAACGCGGCGACGGCGTCGTCGGCCTCGACAATTTCAATTCCTACTATGATCCCTCGTTAAAACGCGCTCGCCGAGATCTCCTATCCCGCAACTCCATCCTCCTCATCGATGGCGACCTCAACGACCACCGCCTCCTCTCCAAGCTCTTCTCCCTCGCCCATTTCACACACGTCCTTCACCTCGCCGCCCAAGCTGGCGTCCGCTACGCCATCGAAAACCCCGCTTCTTACGTCCACTCCAACATCGCCGGCCTCGTTTCTCTCCTCGAAGCCGTCAAATCTGCCGACCCCCAACCCGCTGTCGTGTGGGCATCCTCCTCCTCAGTCTACGGCCTCAACGACAAATCCCCCTTCTCCGAATCCGACCGCACCGATCGGCCCGCCTCTCTCTACGCCGCCACCAAGAAAGCCGGCGAGGAGATCACTCACACCTACAACCACATCTATGGTCTCTCCATCACCGGCCTCCGTTTCTTCACCGTGTACGGACCGATGGGCCGCCCTGACATGGCCTATTTCTCCTTCACCAAAGCCATTCTCGCCGGTAAGCCGATCACGATCTACCGCGGAAAAGATGGCGTCGACTTAGCCCGCGACTTCACTTACATCGACGACATCGTGCGCGGCTGCCTCGCCTCCCTCGACACCGCCGGAAAGTCCACTGGCTCCGGCGGTAAGAAGAGCGGTCCGGCGCCGTACCGGATCTTCAACCTCGGCAATACCTCACCGGTCACCGTTCCGACTCTCGTCTCCATCCTCGAGAAACACCTTAAGGTAAAAGCGAAGAAGAAAATCGTAGAGATGCCCGGAAACGGCGACGTTCCTTTCACACACGCCAACATTTCTCTCGCCATGGCCGAGCTCCGGTACAAGCCTAGCACGAATCTCGAGGCCGGATTGAAGAAGTTCGTCAAGTGGTATATCTCTTACTACGGCCGATCCTCGCGAGGAGGACGGAAGACTAATCTGTAAATTTTTTCTTTCCTTTTTTAACTGGAAATTGAGAATTCCTTTATTTTCTGTAATTTTTGGGATTCTTAAGGGGTTTATCGTAGTTTTCAAACAAAATCAAGAAATGCATTGTACTATTACTATTTGATTATTTCCGTGGCGGAAGGAGGAAGTAAGAGTTAGGAAAGAAGCCTCGTTGGAGTTCTTATTTTTACTTTTAATTTTTATTTTCTTTATTTTTACATAAATGACAGTTTTGCCCAAAAAAATACCTAAATTACAGTTGTGGCCAGCAAGCTTGTACTCTTCCTTGGATCCCTACTTTCATGTAAAATAGATTTATTTAGCAGTGGCGGCTATAAAAAAAGGGCGTTTTTATTGATTATTTTAATTTTTATATTACTTAAAACATCTTAATAATGTTTAAAATCAAAATAGATATGAAGAATTCTAAGGTTTTACTTGATGTTTGGTGTCGAAGTTCCTCACTAACAACTAACATGTTGTTCGTCGTCATCACTAACTATCGTTATCTGACTATTGCCACTCAGTTGTCATATTCAATTTCGTATCATCTAACCATCATCATTTAGGCATTATCGTTTGACTATTATTCTTGGACTGTGATTGGTAGATCATTAATATTATCTCAATATTATTATTTGACTTACATTATCCCTCTTTTGTCATCCATCCATCATTTTTCTCATAATCTTTGTTACAACTATATGAGACAAAGCAAGTGCTACTTTTATAACCATCTCTTCTCCAATTGTGGAGAATATCAAAATTTTGTAATTTCAATTATATAGTGGATTATTTCAATTCGGCTAGTCATGATTTTTTCCATTTTAGGTTTTCACAAAAACCTCTAATTTTTCATGCATTTTCTCTTTTATTTGTATAGATATCTATGTGCAAAGTTTGGACATAAAACTCTCTCTGTCACCATGAATTTCTTAGCACATGACAATTTGCAAAGCTAGGAAAGATTTTTAGCATATTATAACAACTTCATTTTTTTAAGATTATGAACATTTTAAATATTTTTTAGAAATTTTCTAATGGGCGTCTTGGAATTTATGAGATTTTTATCGAATATAAGATCATCAGGACATTGAAAATAGTGTTGTAGTATAATTAATGTATTAAAATAGTGTTTTACACAATCCTTGATAATTTGGTTATTTTTTGAAATTGTGAAATTTTATCCAGTAAGTTTTTATGTTGCCACACAGCTCACCTTGGCCTGTTGGTTGAGAGTTTAGGCTATCAACTAAGAGGTCTTGGATTCAAGTCTTTGTGTATGCATTGTGTGTGTGTGAGTTTGCCTTAAATAGCCTAAATGTCTCAAAAAAAAAGTTTTTATGTTGCCTACTATTATAAAAATTATGTAATTATGACACATGCTCAATTACGCTTTAGTTGTTGTAATATGATAAAAAAAGTACATATGTGATTAAATTATATCTACTGTGAAAGATAAGTGGTCAAAATACTTTGAGGTTCTATTTGTGTTAGAGAATATTTTGGTGTCTATAAAGCATATTTCTATAACTATAAGTCATGCTCTTGTGTTTATAGGCATATTCTGGTGTTATAAGCATTTTATAAGGGGTCATAATCATTTAAGATTTTATTTGAATTTGAAAAATGCAATATGAACCACTCTATAATATGAATTTTAATTTATTTATCTAATTAGTATTGTAATTTAAATATTTGGATAGCTCCTATGCTCTTATTAATTTTCCCAATGCAGTGATTTATTGGACTTCATTTAACTGCTTTTAAATATTTAGTAAAATATTTAATAAAAAGAATTTTAAAAAATTAGATCAATTTATGTGGCCTACTGAGCTATTGTCTCTCACTGTAATTTGCTTTTGATTTTCACGATTTGGGAAATGAAATGAACTTATTGATTAGCAATTCAAGTAATATCTGAGTTTATAGGTATTCCTATATTTTAATTTTTGTTCAGTCGTGCCTAGTTTATTACTCAGTTCTTTAGCTTCTATTTATAATCATGTATTATAATTTATACATTTTCATAAAATAAAAGAAATCTTCTGGATGAGTTTATTTTTAGTATGAGATATTTTAGTAACTCTGAAGTTTGTTATTTTTTGAAAATAAATATTGAAAGAGAATTTAAAATATTTTAAAACTAAATTTTGAGATTTATCTCTCATAGCTATCCAAAACATCGTTGGACCACCACCCATCTATCAACCGTCATCGAACGTACACTTGTTCGCCACCCATCACTAGACTACCACTTGTCCGCCAACCATCGATGGACAACCGCCC